TCCGTGCCAGGCGGCGCTTGTTAATGTTGTCTGGAATGGACTTCACTTGTATTTATTTGCCTATGGTCAGTGATTATTTGCAGTGGCTTCACCAACAATCGGAAGCCTTCAGTATAGCGATAGCTGGTTATACAGGCCAACTTACTTCTCACCCACCTTCTCATAAATTGTTTAATGCTAATTTCCAGCTTGTACCTAGACCAAAGAGGAGTGACCAACCTTTGCAAGCTCTTACTGTTTTTACAGATGGATCTGGGAAGTCCCACAAATCTGTTATCCTCTGGTGGGACGACCAGCGCAAACAATGGGAATCGGATATAAAGACAGTGCCGGGTTCCCCCCAAATCGTGGAACTGACTGCCGTCGTCCGAGCCTTTAGAAAATGGTCTACACCGCTTAATATCATCACTGATTTCAGCTTATGTTGCAGGGATTGTTGAACGAGCTGAGGCGTCTGTGTTACGAAATGTCTCACATTTTGCATTATTTGCTTTGTTACAGGAACTTATTTTTCTTTTAGATTCTCGCATTCATTCCTATTTCATTATGCATGTCAGATCTCACACTTCCTTACCTGGCTTTATAGCGGAAGGGAACCGGCAAGCTGACCTGCTTACATTACCGGTACAGGTACTGCCAGACCGCATAGCACAAGCAAAACTCAGCCACGCTTTCTTTCACCAAAATGCTGGTGGGCTTAAGCGACAATTTGGCCTTACTACTCAGCAGGCAACCAGTATAGTTGCTGTGTGTCCCGATTGTCAAAGGCACTCATTTCCTACAATAGCAGGAGGAGTTAATCCTAGAGGATTGCAAAGTTTGCAACTTTGGCAAACCGACGTCACTCATTTTTCGGAGTTTGGTCACTTAAAATATATTCACTCCTCTATTGATACCTTTTCTGGGGCATTATTTGCCTCTTGTCATACTGGCGAAAAGGCGCGCGATGTTCAACGACATCTGCTGCGTGCTTTTGCCACTTTAGGCATACCTTCTCAAATTAAAACTGACAATGGCCCTGCATATATTTCAACTGCAATTAAAAAGTTTTTGAGTTCTTGGGGGATCAACCACATTACGGGTATCCCTCATTCCCCCACGGGCCAATCCTTAATTGAACGCTCTCATCAGTCTCTGAAACGCTTATTGCAACAACAAAAAGGGGGAATAGGGACCGTTACCCCCGAGGAACGCCTTCAGAAAGCTTTATATGTTTTTAATTTTCTGAATTGTTCTTTGATAGACAGTAAGCCTATCAGGATGGTTGAGAAGCCTTGTAAAAATGATTGTGTATGCTTTAGTCGTTTTTATTCTTTTGTTACTTTGTTTACCCTGTTTTTTGCAGTGTGTGCAGAACCTGATAGCCAGTTCAGTGAAAAGGGTCCTTATTGTGCAACAAGAAGGGGGAGATGTCGGGGGCAGCCTGGTCTCTCCTTCTAGCAGCAAGGACGTGCTCAACTTGGCGTCTCGTAATTTGCATACTCTGTAAGCAAACTGTTACACCCCTGGGGCTAAGGACGATTTCTTCCAGGAGGGCTGGTTTCGTAACTAAAGATAAGCACGTGCTATAGAAACAGGAGTAGAAGTCGTTAAGGAGAAGAATGCTGTGAGCTAGCAGAAAATTAACTGCAGAAAAAGTCAAGCTGACCAATCATGAGCTCAACTTTTGTAATATGTATTAGGTGATTAACCATTGTGCCAATCAGCTTAAAACACGTGTCTCTCTTTGTCTGTTTGGAATATAAAATTGGTTGTTGTGTTCAATAAAGTAGATCCTAACTTGCATCGAGCTGGGTCTCCGTCTCTCAATCGCGGCATGTACAGACATATCAGTTAAGATCAAAGACTGATCTAAGCTTAGGTCTCCAACAGCAGCTGACTACAGATGCTGGGGGAAAAACTGTACTAGTACCATTGTTACATAGCATACACTGGTATATGCTCTCAATTTTTGAGAAAAAGTAATTAAGCTTATGGACTCTGTACCAGCTGTTGTATTTGGACCTCTGTGTTTGCTAACTATCCATGGATCTATCCTTTATGACTATCTAAAACTGGTTTTAAGACTCCTAAACTATTGGCTTTCACAACACGTAGCTACAAGTTCCACAACTTTTTTTTTAAACTTTACGGTTGTTTGAAATCAGCCATCCCAAAATGCCACTGTTTGCATACAAGCTTGGAGAAAAGAAATAGGTAATAATTCCCTTTTTCAAGCTACTCAGTGATACAAATATCTATTGTAATCTCCAGTTGTTCTTTTTTCCAAGCCCAAGAATCTTCATACAAATATTCAAGCCATCTGTACCTCTGATCATCCTCACTGCCCTTCAGCAGTACTTCCACACTTTTCACTTGATGGAGCAACCAGAATCACATATAAGACACAAGATAAAGGAATCTAATGGACTCTGATGGTAGAACATTTCCTCTTCCATTCTCTGTACCTTTCCTAATCATCTGACTTTTAAATACTGTCAAACACAGGACCAATATTTTCAAGCTGACTGTCCTGACTGGTAATCCAAAACCCATTACAACACTCTGTATCACTCCAGCATAGTTGGAGCTGTGTCCTTTCCTTCCCTCTCATGTTCATTACTGCACAGGTTCCTACTATCGTATTGACAAGCCACTTGGCATCGTGAGAACCTAAGCTCTTCTGCAAAGAGTTCGAAATACTTTTTAAAAACTACTCCTAACAATTTTGCATCACTGACCTTTGTTATCTTGCAGTCCACCCACCTTTACCCGGTACCCCAAACAGCTCAGCTCCTAACACAGGTCTCAGCAGCAGGAGGTTCTGACTGTTAACTAACTTCCCCCCACTGTGAACACTGAGCTATCCTTTATTCCCCATTCTTCTAACAGCAAACCACAGGGGCATCTCTGCTAATTACACAAGGATTTAGTTACTTTAAGAAATGAAAATCTTTTCTTAAGAAAAGAAGTACACTATCAGCTGGATCAGCCACATCAATGAAATTGCAGACTACTTCAGAAGAATCCTTTTACAGTTCTTCAGAGCTGTGTATCATTCTCCAAAATGTCATACATATATTAATATGTCTACTGGATGCCTGGAAAGAAGATCCGGGTTTTATTGCCACAATGATATGAATGATATGAAACAAATCCTTTAATCTCCCTGTTCTTCAGTGCGTCCACCTGTCCGTAAAACGAATATGATACGCTGTGTAATTGTGTTGTTCTGCTGCTGTTTGTAATGTACTGGGAGAATCCTGACAAACACAGCTGAGAAAGAAATAAAGGTCACTGTCTCAACAGAAGAGAACAGGGAGAAGTGGTATAGAGGGAGAAATACAGAAAATATTCAGGCAGCTGTGAGAAGTGAACAAGTAAGCATTCAGCTGAGTTCTTGATGCACTGTCCAACCTGCAAAGCATTAGCAGCTGGTTTCAGAGAGGCAGTTAATTTAAGAAAGACAACAGCTCCTAGAGTGAGGGAGCTTCAAAACCCTATTCCACCTGCAATGGAATCCCATATCCCTGTCCACAGGATGCTGCTTCCTTCTTCCCAGAAGACAGAGAAAAAAAGGAAGGGGGGAAATGCTCATCACCAAACAGCAACTGAAGGACTAAATGGTACGATTCCTGTTGTGCTATGATTGCCTCTCAGCCCAACACTCCCTGGGGCTCTGCAGGTGCTTTCCAGATGATCCAATCTGTAAGGAAGAGTCACAGCACTAATTCCTGGTTGCAGCATTTTATGGAGGGCAGGAAAGGCATGTCATGCATTGTTCAGACCACCCAAATTGAGGCAACTAACAAGTCTCCCTCACCCCACCAGCCACAAGAAGGGAAAAAAAATTCACCAGGTGGATCTCCTCACAAAGCACAGAAGGAGCTTCAGGCACTTGCTGATTAGGCTGGGTATCCAACATTGCCCTTCCTAGTGCCTGGAAAGATTTTTACTTCAGGAGAGGGGAAGATACAGAGTCCTACTCCCCTCACCTCAGGCGAATCCTTCATGATGACGCCAAGTGCAGGCTGAATGGTGCGCTTCCAAGAGAGGCCCCCCATCAGCTACCCCACAACAGCTCTGGCTCTAAAAGGAAGGTCCCAGAGCAAGTGCACTTAGGAATGGCCACTCTGACAGACTCAGGTAACATCTCACACAGGCTTTCCTCCATCCCAGGCTAAGTCCCTGAACAAGCCAGAAAGGGGAAGAAAATGTAACTGTCAGCCTGGGGTGGTGTCATCAAGCCTCCACAAGACCAGCAATGGTACAGAGTCCAGGTTTGCTGGAGGAAGAAAAGAAACAGGAACAGGGCATCAGAGCTGGACAGAATGCATTTCTGGAAAGCAAGTCAGAGGGCTGCAGCCTCACTTGATGATACTCCCAGGGCTTTGCAGAGGAAGGTTGCACACTTTCACCTGCTTACTGTGTTTTTAGTTCACCATTTCCATAATCCTCAAGATCTGCACATTTATTTCACGTTTCATGTCTTCTTCCCTCCATTGCCCTCACAGAACATTGCTTCCTGTTGCTTTGTGTCAAGGTTTGAAGAAGAAGGAAGGTCATTTTATCCCTGCTGTGCTCAGGGAATATCCATAGGAACTGTGGTTCCATAATCCAAATAAAATATAAGGACACAGCTCTCAAGTTTATAAATACACAACCTAAAAACCTTATCAAAATGCAGTATCAGCTAATATTTTCAGTTATATTGCTATTAATAGCACCTTGTAAACAAAAAAAGAGAATTCCTGCTTGTTACCAGCCTGCAAGTTAACTCACTATTTACATTACAATTCAACATGGGTTTAATCTTTTTAATAATACACAGTTTTCTTGGATCTGTGGTTGGCAGACATGTACACACACCTTTAGGTCATTCTGACAGCTGTTTATGAAGATTAACCCCCTCCCTTTCAGGCCTTCAGCATGAAAAAGTACCAACACCTGTTTTTAATCCACAAATGTCTCCCCCGTATCTAGCAAAACCAAAAGAATAATAATCAGATATTTAAATTTACCTTCAATGTGACCGCTCTGTTATATTCAGTATGAAATGCACCGTCCCTGTTGAACAAGGAGTGGGGAATAGTGTTAACTTACAGTAACGTTGCTGGAAATCATACAGCTGCTCTTCCTCACTTCTCACTAACCAAAATAACATTATCCTGCTGAAGCCACAGAACTAAGTAGAATTAACAGTACAGTAATTTAAGGGGGGGTGGGGGGGAGGGTGGTGTAGGAAAGAATAAGGAAAAGGGGTAAAACAGAATGTAAAGCAAGCAGGTTTTCTAGTAAATACTTTCCTCCTTAACAGTTTAACAAGAATATTTACTAAGGCATGATCTTTGGAGATGGAGATGCAGCTGCTTGGTGCCTCTTACACTTAACAGTACTCCCACTCCTATTATTTCCAGGAAGATCTCTTGCTGTCTCACTACACTTGCCTTTCTCCGCTTAATTGATGAAGTACTATCTCGAGTCAGAAAAGCAAGCACAGAGAGGTGAAGCAACTTGCCCAAGGCACATGCCAGCAGGCATGTGACAGAGAAAGCAAGAGAGCTCAAATCTCAGGCATCAGCCCAGTGCACTGGGTAGTTTTAGTCCATTGAGCACCTTTCCCAGGTCCCGCTCATGCTTTTAGTGTACTCTATTCAACAGCAAAATAAATTTATCTCAGCTTCTGTCACAACACTTGCTTGCAAACTGAAGAAACAGCAATCAATTTCACATGTCAAAGGATGAAAAGTAAGAAGTCTTCCATGCTGCAGCAGTATGGAGCTGCAAGGAGAATGAATGGTCCCTACCAGCGGCATCAACAATTAAGAACTACAAATCCCAGCCCAGCACTCACTTATAATGGAGTAATTCCACTCCTTTCTCCTTTGAATTAGGATTTACTTTCATCTTCTTGCATAATTTTCGGCTTTCAGTATCACTGCAAAAAACATATTGGAAGAAAAATGGTTACAAGAAAGGAAATCAAATGCATTCAGTTCTGAAAACTCACTGCTGTGCTTCCTCATCAGCAATTAGTTGCAACTAACAGTAATTCAGAAGCTGTTCAGCTAAGTTTGTGGGACAAGCACTGTGGAAAGCTGTATCAGCCAATTTAATTTCTCTGTTTGCTTGGTCAGGACACAGTGAACTGTGTTAAAACCACATCCCAAAGCCAGGCCCTAACCAGTAGAAAAGCAGCCCATTCTAGCTTGTCCAAGTACCTCAGCAGACCTTCTGACCATGGGATTAACATAAAATTTAGGAAGTCAAGTTTTCAAGAAGATTGTGCTACTGTTTGGATGGTGGTCAAAGAGCACTGTTTGTGAAAAGATGCAAAGAGAAAGAACAGTTCAGTTTTATATCTGGCAGAAGACAACACAAAACCAAAGAGAAATGTCTTCATGGTATCTCCAAGCCCAGATCACAAGTGGCTAGCCTTAAAAAGGTCCTGCAGAAAACAGAAAACCAATTCAAATTTTGGACCCCGAACCCAGTAACCCCATTCACTCTAGGTATGAGGGATGTGTCCTAACAACTGGAGGTAAAGACCATCTGCCACAGCTCCTGAAGGAGGCATGTAGCAGCAGACAGATCTGATGGAGGTGATTTTCAGACAGAACAAGAGTGAATCGCTTCCAGCGCCAGATTAGGCTGAGCTGAAGAAGAGAGAAGAGTCATGAGAGAAAACTGCATACACATTTGCTTAGGTGGGCAGGTAAAGGGTCTTCGTGGCCCAGCTGCTGTCCTAAACAACGCAGAAGTGAAGCTATAAGGATCCTTCAAGCTGAAGTGAATATGAAGTCAGTCAAAGACCTGGGGAGATGAGTGAAACAGTACAACTACAAAGAGAACAGGATGATTCACACTGACAAGACTATTCTTTGCATTGACAAAACAGCAAGATTTAAAAGCTTGGAAACTTGTTCCTAGCAGAGGACAACTTGTACCTTTTACACAAATAAATCAATTTAGAAAATGAAAACACTGAAAACCTATCAAGTTTAAACTGATTAGAGACACATTAGACACCAAAATGCAAGCAAGGATTGCAAGAGCCCAACCAAATTAAGTGCTGCTGCCAGCACTGGTGCTAATTCTCCCAATGTTCTCCAGCTGTCTTTCTGCAAATGTGAGGAACAACAAACAGTAAGTTTGCAGTGTGCTGCAGATGAGGAGTGTGTCTTTGTGGAAGCTTCCCAAATGCTTATTACAGATGGAAGTCAGGAGGGGTGTGCTACGGAAGCATGCATCAAAATCAGAATATTATACTGAAGACAGAAATGAGCATTTTAAGGAACTAACAAAGCATGCAACTACCTCACCAGGAAGGAGCACCTGTAATCCCAATTGTATAGAAGCATATTTATCTGAAGTTTTACTGAACTCATGTCAGTTCTGCATTTTCAGATCATAGTCAAAACTAGTTACAGTAACCCATAAATGATTTCTTTGCTTCTCCAGGAGGTGGGGGATCAGAGTCCAAGAAGAAAGTTACTTTCCTGTTGTCTGCTTCATCCTTGTTTTCCCCAGACTGCAGTGGAAGGTGGAGCTAAACAGTCATCTGTTCATTGAATAAAGTGAACATCTCCTTGTAACAAAACTAGATTACAAAACAAATAGCCTGGATTTGGAGTTTTGCCAAAAAGCTGGTTTGCCAGGGGGAGTTTGTACAGAAAGTCTGCAGCATCAAAACCAGGGGCCAGAAACAGCCTGTCTTCTCTCTCCTTCAGTCCTCCAACAGTTCCAAGGGCTAACCCTGACCTTCGAGTTGCTTAGGTTATCTCAGGAGGAGGCACCAGTTTCAGATCATCCTCCTGTTTTACCCCAGACAGATCTAGAGGCACAGAGAAGCCCTTGTGGCCTTGCTGAAGCTGACTACCAGACAGTTGACTAAAGTCAGCCCACACCACTGTCAACATTTGTAAATGTTCTTTTAGACAGTGCCAAATGTTTCCAAGATACACATGTATTTGGTCGTATCAGCCTTCCCAAGACACATGTTAGGTGGTTAATGAGAACAAGTGTAATACAGAAACCTACCTCTAGCAACAGGGTCTGTCAAACCCCAAGATGTGCAATTTTTCTGGCACCAGTGGAGGATCAAAACAGCTATCTAGACAATTCTGTTGCTAGTTCTGTCACCAATTTGGTGCAACTTCAAACCATGTGGGAAAAAAAAAAAAAGAGTAATTTTTCCTTATGTGCCACTTAGAGATCCAGATACTCATATTAGAAAAGTTCTGCAATGTTTATAGTGAAAAAAGGCTACAAAACATTATTAATGAGATGTACCTGTGAGCAAGCAGCTAGCAATTCTTACCAGTTCATTTTCTGTTTGCATGAGTTTCTATTAAAAAAAAGAAAGATAAGAACAGCTGTTTCATTGGAGGGAAACATGATCTAAGCCTGCCTTCCGTTCAGGATTGCTCCATTTGTAGAGATTCACATAGCTGCCTGAACACACATGCATTATCACAGGAAAGAAAGCAGCAATTTGCTCCAGTATGTCTCTTACCATTTAGCGGGCAGATTCTCTACACCACTGCATTGGGAGTTTAATCTGTTTACGCAACCTATCCACACTGATGCAAGGGATGGAAGAGGAGCAAATTCCCAGAACAGGAAGTGTCTAAATACGTATCAGTAATTTTTTCATGAATCAGTGCAGATCTTTGCATATGCCAGACCCACCAGCTCAGATACTATAGTAACAATTATTTGGAAAAAAAACAGAAAAGGAGACAAACAGGTATGGCAGAGATGGACCTGTTCTGCTTTTCCTTCTGCCTTCACTTATGGCCAGACAAAAATAACCTGCAGAGAGCAACCTGCTCTGATATCACTTGGTAATGACCATTATCCTTAATAAGAGTAAATATCAACACAGATGCAGTCTCTGCTCTGAGATTTGTCTCTTTTGGACCTCAGCCAACAGCCTCTCTCTGAAGATGAGCTCCTCAACTCTCACATGGGAGAAGGTAATTAGGACTCCAGTTTTTGCAATTTAATTATACTACTTGAAGAGGCAGTATAAGAGTTTGTTGTAAAGACTAAAAGGGAAGAAAAAAAAAAAAAAACAAAAAAAAAAAACACCAACCAAACAATAAACCAACAAAACCCCCAAATCTAAAAAGCCAGAAACCACCCCCAAAATCAGCACTTTGCTACCCGGGTCAAGACACTCCAAAGAAAGCATGAGGCTCAGGAAATACTGGTTTGAGGATGAGGTCAGTAATGTGCCCCCAGCAGCTACCCTTGGCTGCCTCTTGCCATTTCTGTCCAGAGCAATTCAAACCCTCACAGGTCCCTGCTGTGCTACTGCTGAAGTGACCCCTGCTTTGCTTGCAGGCAGTCCCGCAAATCATCCAGCTTTATCTCCATGGAAAATCATCAAAAATATCAACCTATTTGCAATACCACAAAGGAGCTAACCAGTAGCTGTCTATGTGGTAATAAGGTCAAACCTTAAGTGGCACAATGGCATGGTTTCCTTCCATTCCCACAGGCATGTTCCTCATGCTCCCCTTTCCCACAAAACCAAACCAGGGCTACAAAACATTCCTTTGCTGGAGATGCAAAGACATATGGCAGCACGGTAAAAAGAACGATAAAATGAAGATCCAAGTTGACCTAACTAAGCCAGAAGTCTAAGTAACAATAAAGACAGGGTGCATCGCAGGAACACTTCACCCCTTTCCGTTCACACCCCTGTCTCCTCTACTGGGAGACATTTCTGTCATTTGGGGTTATGATGGAGCTGGCAGGAAGCCCGACTGAAGCGCTCCCTGTAAACCTCTGGGGTCCCTTGCCAGCATTAGCATGCATGAATAATCACTTTGCACAGACAGCCAGCTGTTACCGGGGCAGAAGGAGTGCAAGGGACTTGTGAAGGAGATCTGACCTTCTTTAGCTCACCACCAGTGAAGCCAGCACCTGAAGGGGATGTGCCACAGGCATTCCTCAGGAGCAGCACAGGATGCTTTGCCTGTGCAAGGCTGCCCACAGGCCTGGGAGCTTGTAGTCATATAAGGATGGAGAAGCAGTGAGACACACTGATAGCAGTCCCCAGTGGCAGGAGCAGCCCATAGGAAAGCTTCTGCAGTAACGTGTCAAGGTAATTGGAGAGAGAAAGAACAGCGGACAAAGCTAGACAGGAGGAACACAAAATATGATCCAGAGTTTCGCTGCAGTAAGTCCACAGTGGTTTCTAAAAACAAAACAAGTCTGAGCTGGACAGATCCTAAGTACACCTAAATGATGTATGGAGGTGGCAGTGCAAAACACTCTCCTTGGGCCAAATTCAAATATTGTCTTGGCAGGTCCTGAAGGCAGCAGAGTAAGACAGACCAAACATCCTCAGTACTATCCTCTCTTACAAGTACAAATAAGATCTTTGGCAGTTCTCTAATTATTTCTCTCATCACATAATGCTGCTCATTGGCTTCTCATCAAATTGGAAAAGCAGCCCTACAACCACATCATCATCTGGGGAGGAAGGATCTGGAATGACTGTCAAATCCCCTCTTAGGAAATAACAAAAATGCCATCCAAAAAAGTTCAAGTCTGCAGTTGCCAACATAATAGCAGCTTGTGCAAGTACTGTGTGGCCACACCGCTGGCAGCTACTAACACTTTGCAACACAGACCGAACCCAGCCCTCATTTTCATCGGCACCTACGGTGTTTCCAGGCATAAGAGAATTAATAAAAACACTGACAGCGCCAGTTCAAGTAACCAGGTCAGTAAATCTGCCTGCACAAAAACTCTCACTCTTCTATCACCGTATCATGTAACCACATGTGAACCACAGACCTCACAATCTGTAAACAGATTTTATCTCTTCTACGCATACATCTCTCAGTCTGAAAGAGGGCTCAACAATACACACAAATTATGCTTCTTAAGTCCCTTATATCACAGTTGCACCTGTAGACCCCA